GAAATCAGGATATCTTCAGTAAAGTTAGCAAAACAGTGTATGTGAAACAAAACATACCACACACATTTGCACAATGAAAATCACAATAAATGGTATATAAAAATATTTAAATGAAATTTAAAACCTATAATTTACTTAGCTTTGAGTAACTTGAGAAGATATTATATTTAAAAAATGTGACTCAAAGCATGAAGAACAGCTTTCCATGTATGTAAAGAGGCAGTTATTTGATAAACAAGGTCTTCCAAGAAAGTTATGCTTTGGTCATGTCAGAGTAAAGCTGCAGGCAATTGATTCCTTGCCAGATTTTTATGTCGTTCTGCAAAGGAAAGTCCTAAGATGGTCCTAATATTATTCAACTGAAATATGAAATATGTCCATAGTTCCTTGAACTGATATGCTATATTTTGGGCTTTTGATTTACACAGAATAGTGAAGAAGACTATTGAGTGACAAAATAAAAACTTATTTTGAAAACATAGGCTCCTCACAAATAAAATAAACTAAGTTATAAGTTATAATTAGTGAAATGTAATGCTAGTGAAAATCATTCAACAGGTTAATAGGTAAAACTAAGCTCATAAAAATTGTATCAATAATGGAAATAAGACACTCTCTTTAAATAAATACTTCGTGTTTTTAATTAAATATTGCCAAGCTAATTTTTTTAAAAATCTGCTTTTATGAACCTTTCTAATTTGCTCTTGTAAAATTCTGACGATTTACAAAGAAGAAAATGTATTTTCTTGTTTTAAAGATAGCGCAAAACATTTAACTATTTATTCACTATGTTTGTTTGAAGTATTTCAAATTAGTGGGATCTCTGAATTGAGAAGTCATATGTATATGTTTGATACTAATTCACTCATTTAAAAATATATATCAAGTGCCCTACTCTGCCCTGTTGCATCAGACTGTAAGATATAGTCAATGATAAGAAAATCATGCATGCCTCTCTCTCATATTGGGGCTGAGTATTAAAATATATAGCAAAAGAAAAAAAAGACTTACTTATGGTTACATGATGTCTGGAAAAAATGTTGGGTAGCAATTAATGCAATGAATCAAGGAATCCCATGCACAAATCCCCACTTTGAGGCAGAGACATGCTGACAAGAAGACAAAGGAAGATATGGGCAGAGGAGATGCCCAGGTGGTCAGCTTGGTCTTGTGTGAGCTTAAGTAAATCCTTTTTAAAATCTGGTCTTCAATTTCTTATTTCTAAAATGAACAACAGGGCTGGCTCTTTTAAGGCCCTTTCTGATGTTCTTTATTGAATATTAGATGCCTAGGATAGAGAGTTTTCATTCTCATTACAGATTTGCATAGTTGGTATGCCAGAGATTGGATCTCAGCTTGTATATCTAGATATTATAAGAGCTGGGACTAAAACTAGGGCTTCAGGCTTGTATTTTTCTTCTATACAAGACCAATACAATGGCATTTTTTTTCAGGTGTCTACTCCAAACCTTCTTACCACTGCATCTTAGCCTCAGTAGTGACTCTCGATATAGAATCAAGATAAATAGAAACATAATCATGAAAACAGAACTAGATAATGGGCACCCCTAATAACTTGAAAGGTTAAAATTGTCTTCATTCACATGATGCTTTCTACTGTGAATTTGGGGACATAATGTAAGAGGGATTTCTGGTCCAGCCCATGTGTCATGAGTCAGTATTTTCAAGTTCTTCACGAAAAAAATGGAGGTCTGGAAATGAGAGCAATGCCAACAGAGTAGGAAGCAGTAGGAGCTTGATACCAGAAGGCCAAGGGAGCAATGAGAGGCAGGTGGGAAGAAACTAGTTCCTAACGGCTTGGGTGGGAAAAATTTGTAACTCCATGATACACATATGGTTATGAAAGTAAGTTCTTTCCTCCCCTGACCCTTCTCTGATGAATGTGGCTGATGTGAGATGCCTGGCCAGCAATGAATTTAGAATGCAACTGAAGTGGAATTTTCAGAGCCCTGAGGGAAAAGGAGTAACCCTAGGAATCTGGGAGATAAATCAAGTGAACCCAAGCTGTGTAACCAGTTGTTTATTCTTAACGGGAAAGAATGGGCAATAAGGAGGAAATAAACATAGAGAAATGCATGGGCTCAGGGGATGGCGTTGAATAACTGCTAGACCTAAGGAGCAGAGCTACAGCCATCATATCGCATTCAGCAATCCATGCTTCCAAAATGTCCAGGCTCACCACTTCCAGTAATCAAAGGATCAGCAAATATTTTTATTAAATCATGAAGTCATGGAAAATCCAAGAAAAATGAACAGAAAATATTGATTCCTATCAGTGCCTTTTATTAAGTTACTGTAATATCCTGTACATGACATTTGTAAAAGTGTCTAGGAATACATCTGCCACATTCTAAAGTTCTTGGTGAGTGTTACTTCTTTCTCTTCATCCTCTTGTTTTTTTTTATACTTGATTTTTGCTGAGGACAGCAAGATATTCTCTTCATATTAAAGGGGAAAGAAAGCTTAGAAAAATTCAAAGTTTTATTTCAAATAGCCAGCCTAAAATAAATAAAATATTTCTGTCCATTTCTTAGTATATGTGTCTCAATGACAGCAGATATTAGAGATGGATATATTACCCGTGTGATTCTTTGAATGACTTATGGCCATAATTATTTAAATTAAACTCATTCTATTTGCTCACGAGAAATGTAAAATGTGAGCCATCATTTATATTTTGGGTACTTGAAAAGAAAAATAAATAAAATCTCACCATGACAGTTTCTGAATTCAAAGAAAATTATAATTTCCCTCTTCTTAATTGAGAATATTCAGAGAAGCAAGATGCTTATGCACATACTTCGAAATTATCACCTGAAGCAGTAACTATTAAGCTGTCTTGTCAAGTGTTGCTTGGCTTGCATTTTTAATAATATTTGTGGTACCCTGGACTTTGTACAGACAAAGGCTGAATTGCTTGGCTTATCATCTTGAAAGATCCTGTTATTCTGCTTGCTTTTACTTGCTAGGAGGATCCTACTAGAATATATTGTCCAGAAATAGGTCATCAATAAATGATTCAAGACAAAATATACACACACACACACACACACACACGCAAATATATACACATATATATGTGTGTTTTGTATTGGAAGATTATCATAAAACAAACATTTAAAACAGAAATAAGGTAGCATTTTTATTTTCTTTTTATAGAGAAGAGATTTTTGATATTATCTTTCATTTTACTAATTCAAAAAATATATATTTAGTTAATCTTGTTACAGTAAATTGATACTTCTTACCATTTTATTTGATTCATTGACATATTCTTTTGTATGAAATATTGATCATAATATTTGGTGCCATTTATAATATAAAGAGATTGATACTTAAATCACATTGGAAATAAAATGTAAGTAGTTTAATGATGGAGTGCTGCAATAGAAAGCTGGTTTAGAAAATCAGGAGCTAAGTAGAGTTTATATACATTTTGAGAGAGGACAAAAATGAAATTGAGTGAAAGAACTGAGTCTTTAGGTAATAACATAATATGGAAATTGTTTGGCAAGATAAAATCTTCATGTCTCTCTCTTATGAATTTAAGGAGCTCAACAGTTTTACCTCATTAGCACCTTTTGCTTATGTCTGTCTGATGTGGCAGCTAGATTTCAAGAGGAGCCATCTGATGTATAAGATTTATTTGCGTCCTTTGTGCCTCTGCATTTTTCACATCTTTGCCTTTAGAACAGAATCAAGAAATAATGCTATATTTAATTTCACGTCTAAGAAATGAGTGTCTATATAGTTTTTTTTTTTTTAATCTACAATACTTAATGTCTGAAATCACACATTCTGGATTTTTTTGAAAGTCAGTATGGTTTCATTGTACTTTGTGTTTCAGTGGTATTTAAAGATTTAAAATTAGATATCGTTTTTGTACACACAAATTTTTTACAGGTTTCAGAAATTCCTTAAATTATAATTACATCTTTATTGAAAAATAAAAATTTGGCTCTGTACTGTTCAGGAAATGGTTATGGTACATCGAGATTCTCAAAACTGGAGTATTTTACTAGGAAAGAGATAGGTTTAGAACTCTTCTTTGGCCAAATAATATTTTGGAAGCTATGTAAATTGTACTTAATTTTTTTTTTTTACATCCTTCAGAACTCTTAAGGCCACTGTGGATAAAATAATGCCTCGGTAAGAAAGAATTAATGGGGTCCCAACATATCACAAGAAGTTAGTTAGTATTTAAAATGACAAGGTTATCCATATTCTTAATCTGTAATTTTTAATCTTTCTTTCATATCTGTCTCGATGTTTGTATATGTAGATGAATCTATGAATTAATATTTAGCTAGACAATTTGTGAGAGTCCTGAATAGATGGGTTCAGTGAAATAAAGATCTATTATTAATTTTAAACTAATGGATTTTCTTTCAACTTTTATTCCATTGATGTGTTATTTGTGACATGACAGATTTAAATAAATTACTATGTTTTTATGTTACATTTTTCTCCCTTCTTTTTCAAATTTGTGGTCCTTTTTTCCCTTATTTCATTTTTTTAATTGCATTTCTTGTATTCCTCTTAAATTTTTTCTACTCTATTTATGTATATGCTGAACTTTATTCAAAATATACATATTTTTCTTTCTTTGCTTCATTTTGTTAACCTCACACACATTTAAATTTCTTTTATGTGACTCCTCCCCCCTGCCCTGGGGCATAAATTTCTTTTGTGTGACTCCTCCCCCCTGCCCTGGGGCATATTCATATGTGTTCGTCTTGGAGTTATGATGGAAACGAAGAATGATAATTTCTTAATTTACTTTTAATTTAAAAATGACAATAAAAACTTTGTGATTCTCTTCTCCCAATACTTTATATCCAGTTCCTTCTGTAAATACCACATACTGAGGATACGAAGTTTCTGTATCTCAATTAGTTTTCTTTTACAATTTTTTGCTATAGTTCCTGGTTATTTTCTATTTTTTGAATTTTTTTATCTTTCTTTTTCATATTGTACAGTGGGAAGAGATTGGTGAAGTGGATGAAAATTATGCCCCTATCCACACATACCAAGTATGCAAAGTGATGGAACAGAATCAGAATAACTGGCTTTTGACCAGTTGGATCTCCAATGAAGGTGCTTCCAGAATCTTCATAGAACTCAAATTTACCCTGCGAGACTGCAACAGCCTTCCTGGAGGACTGGGGACCTGTAAGGAAACCTTTAACATGTATTACTTTGAGTCAGATGATCAGAATGGGAGAAACATCAAGGAAAACCAGTACATCAAAATTGATACCATTGCTGCCGATGAGAGCTTTACAGAACTTGATCTTGGTGACCGTGTTATGAAACTGAATACAGAGGTCAGAGATGTAGGACCTCTAAGCAAAAAGGGATTTTATCTTGCTTTTCAAGATGTTGGTGCTTGCATTGCTCTGGTTTCTGTGCGTGTATACTATAAAAAATGCCCTTCTGTGGTACGACACTTGGCTGTCTTCCCTGACACCATCACTGGAGCCGATTCTTCCCAATTGCTCGAAGTGTCAGGCTCCTGTGTCAACCATTCCGTGACCGATGAACCTCCCAAAATGCACTGCAGCGCCGAAGGGGAGTGGCTGGTGCCCATCGGGAAATGCATGTGCAAGGCAGGATATGAAGAGAAAAATGGCACCTGTCAAGGTAAGAGTTTGCCTCCGGATCTGCAGGGGCTGTCTGCTTCAGTTGGATCATGTATATGTATTTCCTCCAATGATTATGAGCAAATGACCTTTTACTTTGCTAATTTATGGAGATTATTTCTCTCAAGTTTGATTTTTCTCTTTTCAGAATTTTGAAATTTCTGGCAACCGTGAAAGATTTAATGTAATATTTTATTGGATATACATAATTAACACTCAGAGGGTGTCTAACTTGCAGTGTAATATTTCATATTCACTTTGCTTTTAGAAATTTTATTTTTGAAAAACTCAAACCAAGGGACTAGTAATCTTCATTGTATAATTATTGTCTGCTACTTCTATTTTCTCTCCATGAACCTGTCTTCTACTCTTTATTTGCTGTATCAAATTTAAATGCAAAATCTTTGATTAGACTTGTTTGGGCATGTTTTTAACTGCCTTTTAAAAATTCTTCAGAAAAAAAGTTCAGCCATATGAACTTTACAGCAAAACATTTGTAAACTGAGAGGATTAGTGTACTGTGCTGTTTACATATGATTGCAATTACGTGCTTGCTTTTTAAAAATTACAGATATTTTTAAATGCATAATAAGCAGTGCCCCACAAAAATAACTATTTGAAGATAAAACTGATACAAAAGGTCATTTTAAAGCAATTTGCCCTTGGGGATTTTTTTTTTCTGTTTTTATTTTTCTTTTAAATTGAAACTTGATCATGCATGCTTCTGTCTTCATTTGAAAATGCCCTCATTTTGCCCACAGTGTGGTGAGTTGGCCATTTAAACTGGAAATTTGTCAATGGCTTTCTGGAACAAGGGAGTATTTTATATCAAAGCGAAGAGCAGTTTATGGGAAAGAAAGCAAGCATTTTTCTAATTTAAATTATTCGCCCTCATGATCCTGAACTTGTTTTCATCATGATGTGAGTGTACTAAATAGGTAATGAAAGTTAATGAGTATTAACTGAGGGAACTTTGGATGCTGAGCAGCCCCTTGGTCCTACCTGGTAGTTTCAGGTGCATTTATTTTCCCTAAGTCCACTCTATTAGATGAATCAGACTTCCTCATTTATTCATGCTTGACTGTAGATTGATTATCGATCCAGGGAAACAAAACTAGGGAAATTACCTGTAAATGATGATAACTTTGGTTAATTAATTATCTCCAGAAGCACATTGTACTTCACTTGAAATTCCTTTTTCAGCACCAGTTTCTATTTTGTATCTTTGAAATACCATCTACTATTAATTCTGTTGTTTTTCCATGCAAGCTACAACTTTCTACACTTGATTTTATATCTACACAAGCACATCTGAAAGTTTTGTTAAATCAAAATTATGTTTCTAAAATAAGCATAAGCTTATTGGGGAAATGAATCATAATTTCTTCAGGATTGGAATTAAAGAAATATTTGAACATTAGTTTTTTTATTTTTGAGCAATCTTATTGGTTTAAAGTGAGGTTTTATGTAATTAATTAAAGGATCAAAAGCAGGAGTTATAAGCAATCCACTGAACATATTTCTGTCTAAAATATTGTAAATATAAATCTTATTAATTATTTCTAAAAATGTGTTTATTAGTATTACAAACCAACATACTCTATTTGGTTGTTCGTTTCTATCATTTTAGAGAATATGTGATCACTTAGTTCAGACCACCATGACCTTTGTCTTTATTTTGATTGGCAGATAATATGAGAGACCTCTCTCCATCTTTTGAGGATGCATTTTGATTGTTGATGAGATTAAAACATTCTGCTGGTGATAGTCACAAAAGTCTTGGGAAGCAGCGTTCTGACAGAATGCAATGCTGTCTTAGCGCAAGTGTTAGCATACATCTTTTCTTTCTCCTTTCATGTTCTTCTCTTAATAATTGAAAAGTAGACCCTTAATTGAGGGACAGTGGATTAACTGGAGACATTTCATTGTAGAAAACTTTACTTAACTGGACTCTGTCTTAATTCATGCATTTATCTTCCTCCCCTGGTAGTAGGAGCAGTGGTTTGCAGAGTTGATGCAAAAAGTTTACTACACAGCCCAGAGAATGTTTCACTCATGCATCTGTATGATTAATGCCTGTTGGTATTTTACTGTGTACAAATGGTATGTGATGGCACTCTAGGAAGAATTTCAAGTGTTTATTCTATACATAACTTATATGATTTAATGACTCATTGAATGAATAAATAAATCTTGAGGGTTTGCTTTGGAGAACTAAAGCATCATAGATATTGTTGAGACATTTCTATGTATACACAATAAGTACATGTAAGTGTGTGTGTGTGTGTGTGTGTGTGTGTGTGTATGTGCTATAAAATGCCACCATGACTCTAGCTCATTTTACAATGTTAACCTGCTAGTCTCAAACCTCTGAGTGGGGATCTTGGTGATTTGGAACCATCCTTCTAAATAAGCCAGAAATTTAGGGATCATTTTTCTCATCTCTTTCCTACTCGCTATCCAGTTCCAATCCATCACAAAGTGTTTATAGAAATTACCAGTCAACTTTCTCTTTAAATTATCTACTTCTCTCTATTTCCTTTTCCTTTCAATATAGAGGTAAACCTTGTTGAAACTGTGCTTTCAAATTTAATGAATGACTTTATATATAGTTTTGGTTTTTTAACCATATGAATATATCACCTATAACAAATGCAAAAATTTGTTTCTTACACCCATCCCACCCCTGGAACCTCCCCTCTGCACACACACACACACACACACACACACACACACACACACACTCTTTATACACTTCAGTGGTCTCCTTTAAGACAAAGTTTTTTCATTAAGAGGCTGTATGGTTTTGCTCCAGTTATCTTTCATGACTCATCTTAAATTTTGCTTTCTCTCCTTCCCTGTGCAATAGCCAAGCTAGCTTTTTCCAGTTTCTCAAAGACAATTTGCTCATTTTCACTACTTGTTGTTTTAAGAGTATGTTCTCTTCCATGAATTATTCTTGTATCTAACATACACTAATCCTTCAGATGTGTGCTCCAGTATCCCTTCTACAGAGAAGATGCCCCAATCTATCAAGGCTAAATCAAGCATCACTGTTTACTCATATATCTGTCCTTCATAGGACCATTTAGAACTATTATTTTACATCTATTTGCATACTTGTAATCTGTTTAATTATTTTTTCTGCTCCTGTTAGTCTACATACTCCTTGATGGCAGGAATAGCAGGGGACTGTGTACTCTTTAATCTAAGGGATGAGAAAGAAGTCAAAAAGCAAAAGAGAAGGACAATTAATTCAAAAGAGTAAAGAAAAATTGCAAAGGTATAAAAGAATACTGTGTTATTCTGTGTTAAATAACACATTGTGTTGATTCATTTTACCTTTGTATTATCTGTAAAATATCTCCTTTGTCTGAAAATTGATGGATATGTCTTTTAACTTAATCATTTCTTAGTTCTAAGACTCTCAGGCCAAATTTCACATTCAAGGTATTAAGTCATATGTGATTGGTACTTCACATATTGACTATTAGAGAAGACAATTTATTGAACTTTACAGAGCACAGAATATCACATATTTAAATATAATATGGCCATGTTACATGATGACATTTAATGTTTCTTAGTAACCAAACTATATTAGAATTTAATTAAAAATAATTATATTATTGAGAAGCTAAAGTTTGAATATGTCTGTGGCAATGATTTCCATATGTTAATATTTCTTAGTCTGTGCTGGCAGGTGACTGAGTACTTGCTGTCATATCATGCTTATGTGACTTGTTATATGTGCTTTACGTGATGGAGTTGACACACGGCCTTTTACAAACTAAACTTTCAAGATTCAGAATGCTAGGCAGCTCATTAACATATGGCCTCAATCCGGATGACCAAGCAGTGAGTCTGGAGTCCTGGTCAATTTGGCAATTTATGATCTGTCATCTTCATATAATTTCCTCTCGTTTAACTTTCTTTAAGAGAAATAGACTACCTCACCCATAATAATCTGGTTTTGACGAGGTAACAAAATACTCATTTCTATTGTATGAACTTAAAATATAGTGTACATTTATTTTTGTAAGTCTTACTTATATGCCTAAATTTTCTATAATAAACCGATTTAAGTCTACAGATTTATTACTTGGAAGTCTTTTTTTTTTATTTTCAGAAACAAATAATGTCTCAAATCCATTTATCCCAGTATGTTTCCCCACTTGTTATTTATTATTATTTCTGATGAAATTCATGCTATTTTTTCCCCTTAAGACTCATGTGAGACTTTTTTTTAAGTAAAAAAATGGTTAGCAAAAACACATTTTAGAAGTTTCTGCCTTTTATTGAAGTGAATGTTTTTGACAGAAGTAATTGAGTTCACATGAATCAAATGTTGCCTGCTGAGTGCTCTTGTGATTATGTTGCTGACTTACTCAGATGCAAGGCAAGACCACTAATCTTCATCAGTTGCTAGTGGAATGAAATGGTAATTTGAAATTAGCCCTAGATAATTATAGTTTCACTTATATCAAATGGAGGAAAGAGATTCAGATTGTGGGTCACTGCCAAAACCAGTCAGAGTGAAGAAGGTATATAGTACATGCTAAAATACAGGATAAGGAGGGTTACACGTCAAGGGCTGTGGAGAAAAAGTACTTATTAATTGTCCAACTGGGAGATGATTGCACAGCAAGGAAAATGTAGTGAAAATACCCAATTCAAGAAAGAGCCTTGATTCAGAAACAGTACAGTTACAGCGGGGAGTAGAATGCTGATCATTCATACTTCTGGTGCATATTTATGATTGAAACAAAATTGGCTGGAAATATAGTATATTAGGTGTTCATGTAATTATGCATTAGAGAGCCTAGTTATTTTTAATTAGGCACATTACCAAAAAACATCAAAGGGGTTGAACTTATCGTTCTATTTAGTATGTTATTATATGTAACAAAAGGAACCTATTTTAGTTTCAAAATTTGAACAAATGATGGCAATTATGGAAGTACAGAATATCAACGGTGCCCGTGTGAGATGTGTCGGTGA